ATTTATTTATTTATATATATATATATGTTGTTTTGTGTAGGCTTATGTGATACTTTTTTGTTAATAAAAGATGACCGCTAGTTATTATGTTTTAAAAATTACTCAGAGTCATGATCTGTACCAAGTATGTCAGATCAAGGTCATCAAGGAGATTTAAATTTTTTGTATTGAACTATAACTATATTGGAACAGCTATATCTCCATATTCCATTACGATAGTAGCCGATTTAAGAGAGATAATTGCATTAGTACCGTATTGTCTCTTTTCAGTATANATTATGTTTTAAAAATTACTCAGAGTCATGATCTGTACCAAGTATGTCAGATCAAGGTCATCAAGGAGATTTAAATTTTTTGTATTGAACTATAACTATATTGGAACAGCTATATCTCCATATTCCATTACGATAGTAGCCGATTTAAGAGAGATAATTGCATTAGTACCGTATTGTCTCTTTTCAGTATAAACTATCATGACTGAAAACATTCGTTCCGACATAAAAATATTTAAATGTGCAATTTAATATAAAAGCCGGTATAGGTTAAGTTTTGGTCACTTTTATGCTGAAAACATCATTCTATTATCCTTTGAAGATTCTTTTGGAAAAAATAAGATTCTTTTAGAAAATGTTATGTACACTAAGAAGAACACTTTAGAAAATATATGAACACTATACTTAACTAGACGAGAATAGCACAGCACCTTTTTATCTGTTTCTCTTGCAACTCTAGTCGCTCGAAAACAAAAGTGTATTTGTTCCAATATGTATATAGATCAATTTTTGTCAATACTTACTAGGAATACAATTGAGAAGAAGATAATCTTAAAACGTAGAATAGAATTAAAAACAGAATAAATTCTTTTTGTTGTACAGAAACTTTTAATGAAACTAAAGATCTTTGTCATACATTCTGGGTCGTACGAAATGCATATCATACAGAAGTATATAAATCGTTACTTGGGTTTCTCCGTCTTCGTTGGAATATCTTATATTATAGCAGCAATTACATTTTCCTGCGGTCCTTTATTTTTATCAATAAACTTACCAATGGAAGGATGGTATCCGTTTCCTACTGATGCAACTTACATCAGAGGTGTTCTCTACATCTTGCAAGTATTCGCCATCTTACAAACTGGATTTTGTATCTCTGTAGATTTTATGATAGCTATGTTCTTCTGGTATGCCGCTGCAAGGTTGGAAATGCTAGGACAGGAATTACAACAAATAACGCACGAAAGTCAAGTGAAGTCGTGTATTCGAAAACATCAAGAAATAATAAGGTATGTACTTGAGCATTGAAAGAAATTGAATTAGTGATATGTCATATATTTATCTTTTTGCTTAGATTTATAAGATATTTAAAATTATCACACGCTCAACATCAAGCGATAGCTCTTATTGCCAATTTCTTTCTTTAACATATTTTTAAACGTATAATAAATAGAAATTTTTATTTAAAGTGAAGCGGTCCAATATCGTAGTAATTTCATAATCCTAATTCACCTTAGGAACACTCGAAACCTTACTTAGCTTACTTTTGAAAAATCTTAGTACATCTCTAACATTTACTTTAATATACCTTTAACATTTTTCATCTTTAATATATCTTTAACATTAACTAAATTATTTTAAGCGATACAGGATACATTAAATGGACCGTAAAATATAATGTATTAGGTGATTGCATATGAAACCGCCTGCTGGCAATAGATAGTTTTAGGTATACGAGGGCGGTTCAATAAGTACCCGTGTTAGACGACAGAGGGCGTTCCTGAGGGAAGTTGGTGTTATCATCGTGTGCTATCATCTATCAAACGACGGCGAAACAAATTGCAGACTGATTGATAGATTAGTTTGGATTTGGCAGCCATTCGAGTAAGACGTGTNGCTAAGATGGAAAAAGAGCAGTATCGTTCGGTAATTCGCTTTTTGATTTTGGATGGGAAAAAATGCGAGGAGATAAAAGCAAAGTTGGATGCTGTTTATGGGGACACTTCGCCATCTATGACCACAGTTAGATATTGGTTTAACGAATTTAAACGTGGGCGAACATCCGTTTTTGATGAGGAGCGACCAGGACTCCCGGCAGACGTGGTTACTGAGGAAATCATTCAAAAAGTCCACGACATGATTCTCGCTGATCGACGAACGAAAGTGCGCGAAGTAGCAAAGGCCGTAGGTGTGTCGACCGAAACGGCAATTAATATTTTACATGATAAGTTGGTGATAAAAAAAATTGTCGGCCCGATGGGTGCCGCGATTGCTCACGGTGGACAAC